CACTGTCCCAATCAAGATCGTCTCCAAGTAAAAGAGTCTGGAGAAACTCATTAATACAGACACAGTCGTACATGAATGTAGGTTGAGTTACAGTACCAGCTAATTTAAATTTTACCTGGAGCACAGAAGGTCCGCAGGACGCTCACGCATGCCTGCATCCATCCTCAGCGCAACCCTCAACAGCACGAGCGTGTCACGCTCGTCACTTCCCTCAAGATCGTCTCCAAGTAAAAGAGTCTGGAGAAACTCATTAATACAGACACAGTCGTACATGAATGTAGGTTGAGTTACAGTACCAGCTAATTTAAATTTTACCTGGAGCACAGAAGGTCCGCAGGACGCTCACGCATGCCTGCATCCATCCTCAGCGCAACCCTCAACAGCACGAGCGTGTCACGCTCGTCACTTCCCTCGCTCGCTGCAGGTGCGCGCGCCGGTTGCGCGGGAGATGAGGTACATAAAGAACATATAAGCTCACCTCTGCCTCATCCTTAGTTTAAATTCCTAGTTCCATAATAGCTATCTTGGGATAGCTATTTGGAATTAAAATGTTTAAAATAACAAAGAAAAATTAGGATTAATGAATGCTGCAGTAGGAACTTAACACACTGACAGACATACTAAAATTTCATTAATTTTGCCCACTGTTCTGGCTAATTTGCTGTATCTTTACCCACAGCTGTGTTTTTAAGACTTTTATGGAACTGCTTAATTAAGGCAGTAAAAACCAAACAGTATTTAAACTAGCCTATAGCTGAACCGTATGACACAGGCATTACTGATGGGCAGATTTTCTGTCGGGAGTGAGTTTCAGGAGCTGGGATGTAGTGGCTTTTATAGGGTTTTTAAATTGTTTGTCACATCTTAAAGGCATGAACCAGTTCACTGACTTTCACGACGTCCAGTAGCAGCTAGTGAGATAAACTGTCACAATGGAAATCTCGTCTAGCAATAAGGTCACCCATTTCAGTTGGGAACATAGGAATAAGCCTGCTTAATTCAGTAATCCAAGTCAGAGTTGGCTTGCTGTGTGAAAATTTGCAGTTCTTCATGTTAGCAAATACAGATTTAAAAGTAAAGCTTTATCTGGCATCAGCAGAGCTGTCCCTTGGACCGGACAGTAACTACTACATTCTTCAGTCTGAAAAGAATCACTGGAAAGGGTTCCTTAAACTAAAAGAGGGTTACCAGCTGTGTAACTGGACGTGGCCAGAAATCCCTGAACGTGTTTCATTGTAATGCACATCCTTTACAGACGCTGAATCGCACAGGTGATGCATGTTCCAGCATCTATCAATCGCACTTTATAACGCAGTCCAGTAAACATCAAGTAAAACCGTATTTGTTCTGTATGATTTTCTCTAAAAAACACCGTAGGAAGCAAGACCCTCCCCTAAAGCAAAAATCTGTTGCTAAAAACGCATGCCTGTATGCTCTTCACAGAAACACAGGTGACTGCAGGCGGCAACGGACTTGTGTCTATAGGGGAAGGGGGCTGTCCGTGCGCATTCCTCCTAGGCAGGGGTGGTGGGAGGCTGGCGGGGACGCAGCAGCTTGGTCCTGCTCCAGTGGGTTGTCCAGTGAGTGATTCCCGTTTCCCCTAAGGCTGCCTCTCATTAGCATGAATCGGGGGAAGGGCATAAAAGACTCCAGTTCATTTTGAGTCTGGAAAAACTTTACTTCAAAATGACAACCAAAGTGTTCTGGCTCCTCTGCTTTGTCATTAGATCATCTTCCAGCTCAGTGGCCGGTAAGTCTGTTAACATTCAAAGCGGGGCTGGGGCATGTTTGCCTTTGGTATCAGGGGAGGCTAAACACGTTACTACAGATTCTTGCCTGAGCAGCCCTCTTCAGCTGTAGTCTTTTCAGCAACTGGTAGCAGTAATCACGTAAGGGCTCAAGAAAGAAACGTTTCAACATCTTTGTGGGATGGGAATGTAAATTGCAATATTTGATTTGTCAGCATTTGAAAGAATTAAGAGCACCTGCCAAAAGCAAGCGGCTAGCTGGTGCCATGAATCCTGCTAGCCATCATTCAGCAACTGAAGTTTGACTTGCTTCTGCATGTGGGATTTTTATATTTGTATGTGACCTTTCCCTTTTAGTCTCCTTCCCCTCACCTGTAGACTCCAGATTTCTAATTTATTTCAATATGCTCTGTGCTGTCATGTGTGCCTGTAGCAAGCTGTCCTAAACAGATACTTTTTTTAGTACCTCCTTGATGGAACAGAAATAAGGTATACATCTATTCCATTGGGAAGGAGCTGATTATTTGCAGTTGTATTTCTCAGGTTGCAAGAGCTAGACAGAAATACGCTGGTACAGGAGAACAAACCTCAAGGTCCTGAACAGATTGAGCAGAGAAAAAAAGAGCTGTTTCTTGTTAAAATCCATAACTAAGAAGGCATGATAAACTGGTAGAAAAGTATACTTATAAAACCATGCCCAAAACACCTGTTCAGAGTTCACAGCTTCATCTTGAAACATCTCCAACACACCCTTGCCTATTGCTTTCTTTAGCTTGGACTTCTTCCACCCCTTTCTTCATGGACATTCTTTTGACTTTACGTGTGGCCAGCCCAAATATCAGGGAATCTTTCCCATGACAGCAGCTGGTGAGAGCAAAGGGGGAGAAGTGGCAAGGTCAGCAGTTGAGTCAGTTATAGAAGATAAACCAGGACGTTGTTCATCTGCGTATGTCAAATATCTCTTTTCACATAAGGAGTTGGGATCAGCCTCCTACACGATGCTAACCACAGACAGCGAACACCCAGACAGCGGCTGTGCGTGGGTGAACTGTTTTAAAACTCTGCTGGCTAACTAAGGCACACACTGAAGGACTAAAGTAAAAGGAAAATGAACTACAAGAGGAAATTTCTCTCTTCCCAGGCTAAAGGGAAGCTCATTTTGCTTTGTGAGGTTCAAGTGATCAAGGTGAAGGTATAAACGAAGGCCTCGATGACTGTCCAGCTTGCAAGAACCATGTCATTAAGCCTTTGCATTTTTCACTGGATTCCCAGACGCTTCCTCTCTTTCTCAACCCTTGTCCTCTCAACTTAAGAAAAGCCTTGAAATAATTGTTACTCAGCAGCAACAGCCTAGCTACCAGACTATGGTACTGCTACTATACAACTCTGTAGTGCAAAAGTCAGAGACCAAAACCTGTGGATAAAGATCTTTTCAGCAGCCCAAAGCTGCTGAAGAGTCCAGATGACATTGTCAATAAGGCATCCCATGGATGGGAAAACCAAATAGTTCTGTTGTCATGGTCTTTTAAACAAGCATCCCAAATGGCAATGTGAACCTTGTTTCCTCAGATGTTCCCTGGAGATTCAGGCTTTTGAGAAAAGGGTTTGTTTACAAGTCATGTTTTTAATTTGCAACAATAATAAAGTAAAAATGCAAATCTCCTCTGTTTTGCTCACACAGCTGCATTCTCTGTACCGGGCCTTACATGTTTGAGTACAGAAGAACGAGGAGCTGTACTACATTTCATCTGCTGAACTATTTATCAGTTATATTGGCTTACTGTTGAAGGCCTCGCTCACAGAGTAGAGCCTCAAATCTGCCAGGCACTTCCCATTCAGAAGCACATGGAATAAAAAAATGGAAATGTTCATTCACTCTCCACTTTTTTTGTTTGTAGGACCCCTGCCCTATGCCGAGAAACCCAGTCAGACTCTCAGCAAAGACGCGTATAGTTCAGCAGACGCTGCTCCTGGCCAAGTCAAACTGCCAGCCTGGGGCACCAGCAGCGCCAGAGAGAATGACACCGAGCGCTGGCGTCTGCCTCCCGCAGACCTGCCGCAGCCAAAACCTCCTGAAATCATCTCCCTCTCATCTGACAAGAAGAAACGCGCCAAGCCTTCTCTAGAAAACAGCACAGGGCTGAGGAAGCGCCTCGTGCAGTACGGAGGGGCCCTGCCTCTGGAGAGCCCGACCGAGGGGCCTTCTCCTGCCTCCTTTGACTTCAACCACGCGAACAGAAAGCACGCGGATAGACGGCTGGCCAAGGCTGCCAACAGCGTGTCGGCTCACTTCCGTCACGCAGCATCTTCCTATCAAAAGATGACATCCTTCGTGGAGGCTCATCCTTTTCCAGACTCCGGAGCAGTGGAGTCGGATGACCCTAACACGCCGGATCATTTCAACCGACCAGGCAAGATGATCCCTTACAAACGTACTGATCCCTTCAAAAAGATCACCAAGCCCTCCTGGGTCACCAACCGCCAGTCGTCCAGCTTGCCGTACCACTTCAGCGCGCTGAAGAAAGGTAAGGGGTAAGAAAGACGGCTCTGGCAAGGGGTATGGTGAACTTTCCAAAGATTGGCTGGCCTAATTTGGATGAAATACCCCAAAAGGGCCTGTTGCTGTCCCTCAGTCTATGTGCCTGTTCTAGATGCTGATAAGGAAAAGGCATGTCTGACCGAGTGCAGGAAAGAGAGAGACGAAGTGGAGGCCTACTGCGCGAGTGAATTCGGTAAGCTGTCCCCTCCCTGAGCCACGCAGGCAAGCAGAGGCCTTCTTCATCTGCCACGGACATTTCACTTCTGCTTTTAAGATACTGTTTCACTGAGTATGTTAAGTAATTACTTACTAAGTACACTAAAAGGACCCATCAGAGCTCTTCATAAATGTACTGCAAACAGTACCGAGTCTCACATCAGCCTTTCCCTACCTTGGGCTGGTATTGCTCACTCTTCTGTTTCCTCTACTTTCCACTCCTGGGAGGAAGACAGTGTTCTCGCTGCTGGTCAACAGAACTGAAAAGGCCAATTGTTTCACATACTCTAAGATTAAACACTGTAGCTGTGCTACTTACCTCTTCCTATTTAGACCAAGTTTGTGGTTTGGGGGGCCGAAGTTTCAAACAAAAATAAAATGGTGAACCAAACAAAAGTAAAACTGTGATCCTTTCTGCATAGAGGATTCTTCTTGAAGCTCCTTAGGATTTAATGTCGTTAGTCCTTGTGTCCAAGCAGACGTAGCTAAAGATGGTAGAAAATAGCTTGGCCTTTTTGTACTGAATGTTTAAGAATAAGCATTTTCTGACTGAAATCTTGCCTTGCGCTTACGAAGTTGTGAAATAGATACCAACTTTTTCTCACAGTATTTTAAGAGATAAGCAAAATACATGCCTGATGGTAACAGATGTTTCCATTTGTAGAATATAAACACGGTAGGAGACATCTGTTTTCTCTAACTGGAGAAGTCAGGAAGTGCTTTCTACAAATGCTATATTCTTTATTTTTTACCACTCGCATGCATTCCTGTCAAACGCAAGCCCTTCTAGCAACCTGACCTTTGTATATTTTGGCCTTTAGCAAACGGCGGTCTCATTCCTCTCTTAAATTGAAAAAGACAGGTAGGAAAAAGACAAGTCTGAGCAACAGAGCAGCCAAGGTTCCATTGCAGTGATCAGAAAGAGCTTTACATTCTTTTACATTTACAGTGCAGATTAAAGAATGACTGAAGCAAAGTTCTCACTTGGTGAGGCCGGTGTAACGTCAGTTATAGAAGTCCTATTTGCCTTATCTGCCTAACAGGTGTGTTGTTTTCTGATTCCAGCAGTCAGCTCAACACTTGCGATTCCGGCAGTCAGCTCAACACTTGTCAAAACCAGAAATTGGGTGGACAGCAAGAGCGTACAACATGGCCTGCTTGGTGCCCTTGCCACTTGGTATGACAAGGGCCTTTTCCTTCAAAAGCTGGAGCATTTCATTAGCAGTTTAGCTTTGTACTTCATTGTGAAGTTTTAAATTTGAAAATTTTACGTTGTTAGGGAAATATGTCCGCTTTTTCCATATCAGGATGGAAAACAGTGCTAAAAACGTAATTTTCTTTTGAAACATTTTATAAACTTCACTAAGAAACATCTCAGATCTGTAAAGCGTAAGGTGAGTAACTCAGCAAATACTAAAGTGATGACCTCATCAAACGTGATTATTTGAAGCAAACTCTACTTTCAAGGCTGCCCAGTCCTGAGCCAAATAATTTCTGCTGACGCACACTTTACAGCATTTTAAATGAGAGCTTTCACATGTACCCTGAGTTGCCACCCAGATACCTAATCTGATGCTTGCTTTTTTTTTTTCCTCCCCCCCACCCCGCCGTAAAATAGCAGTGAATGGAATCGTGTATAACATCGAAAGACTGGGGAATGGAGTCCGCTTCATTACGCTTTTAGTAAACAGCGATGGATTATACAAGATGAGTCGCCTGTATATTACTCCTGATGCCTTCTTCTTTCGAGTTCACATTCTAGTCGTGGATACTTTGAACTGCAGTAAACCATGTCCAGACTTTAAACTTGGTAAATAATTCCAGTTAAATACATTCCACTGTTCCTCCTGTGTGCAGTACAATTTTAGTCTACCCCAGTTTAATAGGCTTATCCTGGCTCATTATGGAAAAAACCCCAAATGTATTTTTAAACTGGAAGACTTTTTGCCTCCCAGTTCCTCTAAACTTTCAGAAAAGAACCAACTGCGTGAAGAAGCCAGGTAGCAGCGTACTCCTTTTTTAACTTCATCCAGTTCCAAAATGATTGCAAGAGTTTTCAGGATTGCTGAAAAAAATTAAGCAGGAGCTTAAGCTGATGTCTTTATAAGTAGTTCAGTTTTCCTTCTAAATGCAAGTTTATCAAATACCAGTGTTTCCCCCAAAAGGTTTCTAATTGCAATACGAGACAGTAAATCATTATTTCTGTGCAAGCACAACCCGCAGGTCCCACTGAAGTTCAGGGTGCCGCTCTGCTAAACCACACGTTCAGGATGTATTTCTGCAGGATACAACTTCACCTCTAGCCATAAAGCTGTTGCCCTTAGAGCGAGTGTAGCGAATGAATCCATGCTTGCTTCATGGCACGGAAGTCTCGTTTATTTTGCAGGCAGTAGGTACATTGTGATGGGTCGGATCTACCACAAGAGACGACAGATCCCTGCAAACCTGCTGCAGTTCCTGCGAGGGCACCTGAGGCCAGGGGATGGCTTGCTCAGAAGCAGCAGCAGCTACGTGAAGAGATTCAACAGGAAGAGGAGTCGCAAAGTGCAAGCAGCACACACCAAATGCAGATAAGGCTTCAGTAACCTCCGTGTGGGACATGGGCAGCTGCAGAATTCACCTACCAGAATAAACCTGGCCATGGTTTAGCAACAGCGGAAGGTAGTTCTCATGTCTGAAAGTGGTTGTGATAGGACATTTGCTTTTGTGCTTTAGCAAACACTGACTGAGTGTTTTGACTAGGTACCTATATGTTGTGAAATTTAGCACAAAAGTTAGTCTAGGGAACATTCACTGGTCATGAATTTGCTCCAGCTGTTTTCAGAGGCACAGGTTATTATTGCCACCCCTGCTGCAATGTACCCCTAATAATCTGTAGTAAGTGTAAAGTAGAATTCTGGCGGCATTATTCTAGGTACAGAGGTGGTAACTGCACTTTCAAATCCTTAACCTTGAACAAATGTTACATGACACCATAGCTTTATCTAAAGAGGAGTCCGTTGTGTTTTCGTACAATTCTGCCCGAAGTATTACATGCATTTGATTCAAAAGAAACCAACAAAACAAAGTATCATTTGCATTGTTTTCGTATCCTCAGGCAGTCCATGCTACTTTTATCATTCTTCAAATTTTCACATGAAGCATACAAAACAGCTGTGTAGGTATTTCAGTATATGAACACACTAACTGAAAGCCAATCACGTAACTGCGCAACACAAGTGCCCAGTTAGGCGTCGCAGTAACGGCACAAGTTCATGCCGAGGAATGCAAAATAAGCACGCGATTGCATGCACGTTCTGTATGCCTGGTTACACTGTCAGTTCCTTAGAAGTTCAGTCCTAGAACTGTGTACTGAATGTCATTTGCCCGTGAGAAATACTACCACGTTGTTTGTACTTGCACATCAGTAAAGTTACTTTCTGAATCAAAGATACAATCTTTTAGTACCTTTAATGTGGTGGGATGTAAGAGCCTGTGAAACCTCTGCAGAGGGGATCTTAATGTTTACTATTCCAAGAGACAGTATTCACAGATCGTAAGTCTTTAAAAGAAACCAATGAAATGTTCGTGGGGTTCTGAAAGATCCAAAAAGATTACGGAATGATGTTAAAGAATGGCATTGCCTTGTTTGATGAGTCGGCTGGGGATTTTAAGATACATATTTATATTACAAAAAAAGGGAAAATGCAGTCTAGCATAAAAAAATACACATACAGTGACAGGTATGATGTGACCTGGAACAGGAAGCAGGGGCTTCTCTAAGCTGTTTCTGTTTTGAAGCAAAGGTATTTCTAACACCGTCCTACCTCTCATACACGTCTGCAGCTTGACTTGGTGGCGCTGAAAAGCTACGGAGTAGCGGATGGGCACTAAGTCACTCTCTGAAGTACTTCTTGATATGGAATAGGAACCAAATACAGAGAGCAAACATCGTATTTTGGAACCCAGAAGACTGTTCCTACAGGACAGAAATATACGCACTTTAAAAAATACACTGTCTCACTTTTGTTACATGAAAGAAGAGTTCGCATGGAGCGCCGCATATATAGATGGAATTTTCCTGAGAGACCTTGAGGAGGCTTTTGGCTTGGCAGAGCGACTGTTCCTGGCAACGAATCAAAGCACCGGCGTGGGCTGGGAGGGACAGGAGAAGGAAGGAGGAAGGGTTGCATGTGCATCTCCAGTTTCTTCGTTTCTATTTTCAACCAGAGTCCAGGGACTAACCGGCAAGTCCAACAGTCATCCATTTGCCCAGAACAGCAATTAAGCACCCTTCCCCACCCCCAAGACATTATCCTAATCTAAAACAGGCAAAGCGTGGGCACAAAAACAACATCCATGCCTATATCTGATTTTGATTGTCTCTCGGAAGAGATAAATAATAGTGCTAATGACATCCAAAGCCCGAGTAAAGTGCCAATAACTGACGCACGTCTGCACCACGCTCTCAGATACAGCTATTGCTCTAGAAGCAAGCCTGAAGAGCAATTCATTCCGTGTTCTCTTCTTGCGTTACAAACTCATCTTAACTTTCCCTTCTTGCTTGGAAGGTCACTCCTTAAAGTGTCTCCAGAACAGCTGAGCAAGAAGCCACTGTACTTCACAGCCCAACTGAACTACAGCTGAAGCAGGAGCGTCACTATTGTTCTTACTTCTCACCAGGGTTATCACATGCTAACGAACCTACTGCAGAAAAAAAATTCCTAGATCAAATGGATTTCCACAATCTTGCACTCGATATTATAAAAACCTCACAGCATTAACGACACTGAGAAAATGGCAGCACTTACATGCAATAGCTGCCACGGTAATTTTGATACCTTGCAGTTAGTAATTTTTTTTCGCAGCAGGATAAGCATGAAAATTCTACAGCCAAAACACACAGAGATCCAGGGGTACAGGAATATTGTTGTCCTCCTGCCTTTCCAGGGGTTTGCTCAAGGCTTTTGGGTAAGGCCAACTTTTTATTCTACCTTAAATCCCCATTAACTTCTGCATGAGCTAAATCTAGATCAAGGATAATTGCTTCAAATTTGCTTGAGGACACAAAAAGCAAATCAAGCTGGTGTAACTCACATTCTCAAAATCTGTGTTACAATATATTACCATTTTGAAAAAAATGTTGCAATAATTTATAAAAATACAAAGAGGAGGACGACTGAACAGAGATCACAACTCTTATGAACTTACCATGCTTTTAAAGAAGGCGGGTACTATTTACAAGTGATGTATTTTCTGTGACACCTTTTAACTATACAGGATCACCACGAATAAATCGAGAAAAGCACCTCAACCTACTCACTGGCAATTGAAAACACTAAAAAAGGCTCTTGGCAAGATTAAATTTCATGTATGGATTATTTCCCTAATCAACCTGATTCACTGGCAATTATATATAATCTGGCAAAGCCAAAACCTATATACAATAACATTATCAAATGTTTCATTAGAAACACCACCAAATCAGTGTCAAACACATTACTTTATTTGTCTAGGATGATGTGTCCTATAAGGTACAAAAAAGTGCTCTTCAGTTTGCCACAATTAGTTAAAAACATAGCAATCTATTGCCTACAGGTAGGAAAGTTTTGAATGATGTCATATATATATTTATATATGAATAAACAGTACAGAGATACTGTGAAGTTTCGATGAGATGCAGGATATGTTCAAATGCTGTTAAAAGTTGAGATTTCCCCTTTTTGCATTAAAAACACAATGCATACAATATGCAGCATTTTTTTAAACGTCAAAGGACAACATAACCTAAATGCAACTACTCTTCCTTAAATTTAAGCAGCGTAAATGGATTATTGTTTTCACATTGAACAATTATTTTTAGTTTTCACATATAGGTTAAATGACAACATGTGTATGTACAAAACCCCACGGGTTTTTATTAGATAAAATTATCCCAGAAGAACCTGTACACCTGAGCCTGTAAGTGTAAGAAAGTGTGGTCAGTAGCAACATCTTTTTAAAAAAAAATAACAGAAGAGGTTCTTGCATAGCAAGGTGTGAGGTTAAACCCAAAAGGAGCTTATCCATAAATCGGGTAAATCCCAGATCACTGTAGAACAGAAGTTAACTGTGAATTAGAGCCAAAGCTGGTCAAACGGTTGAAGAGCCGCATACAAACCCCGGCTGATTAACTACAGACAGGTAACTACTACGAGCAAGTCATTTATATACGCAATGTGAAAGGGATGGATTGGAAAGAAAAAGCAACGTCATCTGCAATTTGCATCTTCTTTTGACTTCAATTCACCCCTCATAGTAGCGCTCCTCACACAGGAGAGCACGGAGCAGTCCAGCACGCCTTCCGAAGATAAAATTACACTTGGTACTTTACATTCCTAGAGTACTTGGCAAAATACCACTTAATTCAGTGGTGGGCAGTGACATTTCACAAAATACTTCCTACCATGTTATCGGTTACAGTAATTTTGGCATCACTGTAGAAATCTCGTACAGGGATAACAGCTGCTCAAGAATGAAACGTAGTAAATGCTACCTTTGGAGCAAATTAAAGTCAGATCTCCCTGGCCACTTCCCTCCCCTATTAACTCGCAGTATCTGAACAGATCCCCAAAGTGTTACAAACATACTAGCGCACACTCAAAGACACCTACATCTGTGGGGAGAACAATTATCTCCATTTATTTTGTTTCATATACATCCATATTTTGAATTTTAATACAAAAGAAAAAAATTAGAATCTGACAAATGTTTACAAACAAGATACCTTCAAATAGATTTTACTCATTTCAGTCTGGTGCAGAGTAAATGACAAATTGTACTGTTATATTCAAGGCAACAGAGTCTGTAGTCCATGACCACTTAGCCCAACTTTTATGCAAGCTTAATTGTTTTTATCTACCATGAATGATAAACTCATTGTTGATTCCCAGTTCTGTGTGTGTGCACATGTGTACATAGCAGCTCCTTTCATAGAAAGAAAAGACAGAGGTCTTCTTGTACTTTTACCTACAGGAATCATGTTAAGATACAGAATGGATTACATGTAACCGGGGCTGGATTTTATAAGAAAAAATAATTAGCTGACAAATGAGGGCAGCAATAAAAAAGCGTCTTTTTTGCAACAATAAATAAATACAGTCAAAGTTTTCTGTGTGGACTTTAAACCAGCTTCTTCACTGAAGAACAGACGTGGCATTTCCATGGAGTTAAACGTGACCCCATTTACTGTATCTTTTTTTCTTGCTCTCTTTCTCTCTCTCTCTCTCCTTCAACAAAACAAAGTTTTCCTGCTTCTGCCACAATAGTACAACAATTTGATCTTGACAAGAAAGTGGTGCTGCTGATTTTTATTTCTTTGTCCTTTGGACAAAATAAGCCAAGAATATAATTTGACTGTTGTGACCAATAAAAACGCAGTTTACATCAAGTCTTGTCAGGATAACCTGACTAAAAACATCTGGCTTCTTAATTAAAAATTTTCAGACAACCAGATTCTTGCTCGTGTGTTAGGTTAACACGCTGAACTCTAAGAAGCTGTAGACTGCAGTTTGTTGTTATGGGACCTGCAGAATACAGAAGAAAGTGAAGAATTAAGCACCCTTCATTTCG